GCGGCTGCTCAGCTCGGGCTGGACTCGAACTGCTGTTGCTCAGAGCTCAAACTCTTGAGCGAGCTCTTAACCAACTGAGCCACTCGGCCGGCCCAGGGGTTTGTCTTTTTGTAAGAGGGATTCATTCCATCACCTCCCGGAGCCTCTCGGACAGCTGGGAAGTTTCATCTCACATCTAATCCAGCTTTCTTGTGCTGTAATTTAAGTGGAGAGTTGAAGAGCTTGTCCATAAGCATCTTCTTTGTAGGATCTCTTTCCAGTCTTTTTTGTCATGTTGGGTTTCTCTCTATTACAGTCTCCTCTGTTGTTAGAATGCGATTCTCCATCATTGGTCCTCATCCCACTGTGGAGTCGCGTTTAGCGTGGAGGGCCCCATGAACTCCCATCGTATTCTGTCATACTCGTGGCAAGTTGGTTTTTGCCCCACATTTTGCGCACACCCACTCACCTACTCTCCCATCACCTAACTGGCTCTTTCCTAGAAATCCCTTCTCACTTCATCTCTCACTCTACCTCCCAGACATCCAACACGCTGACGTGGGCCCTGTACCATCTTTCTAAAAGCCCAGAGATCCAGGCGGCCTTGCATGAGGAAGTAGTGGGTGTGGTGCCAGCTGGGCAGGTGCCCCAGCACAAGGACTTTGCCCACATGCCCCTACTCAAAGCTGTGCTTAAGGAGACCCTGCGGTAGGCGGCTGTTCCCGGGAGCACAGGGTCTGTGTGTGTGGGAGCACTCAGACAGGCGTGGGAGGTGGGGCTGCTGGGCTGAGGTTAGGGCCAGGGGTGAGATGGGAAGAGGGGTCTGGGGGACCAGAGAGGTGGGATGGAAGGGGCGGGCATTCTGCCCCTCCTTGGATCCAAAGGCAGTCCTGCACTTCCTTCTCCCTGCAGTCTCTACCCTGTGGTCCCCATCAACTCCCGGGTCATTACGGAAAAGGAAATTGAAGTTGGTGGTTTCCTCTTCCCCAAGAACGTGAGTGGGGCTAGAGAGCTGGGGTGCCCAGGGGTGCCCCGCAGCCCTAAGCTGATATGCTGCCCATTCTTTCTGTGCAGACCCAGTTTGTGTTCTGCCACTATGTGGTGTCCCGGGACCCTAGCGTCTTCCCTGAGCCAGAGAGCTTCCAGCCCCACCGCTGGCTGAAGAAGAGTCAGCCTGATACCCTCGGGGTCCAACACCCATTTGGCTCCGTGCCCTTTGGCTACGGCATCCGGGCTTGCCTGGGCCGCAGGATCGCAGAGCTGGAGATGCAGCTGCTGCTGGCAAGGGTGAGTGGGGAGAGGCAGGAGTTGTGTGGGTCAGAGAGCGGGGAAGGAGGCCTTAGGGAGGCGAGGAAGGGAGGCACAGGGTGGGAGTGTGCAGCGGAGGGCAGTGGATGGAGACCACAGACTCTAACCGTCCCGTGTGCATTTTACCTCCCAGCTGATCCAGCAGTACGAGGTGGCCCTGGCCCCTGAGACAGGGGAGGTGAAGAGTGTGGCCCGCATTGTCCTGGTTCCTCATAAGAAGGTGGGCCTGCGTTTCCTGGAGAGACAGGTCTGAGCTGGGCCCCTGCCATCCTAGAGGCCTGGCCCTGGCGTAGTAATTCCTGGCCACTGCTGTGTCTCAGATGAGGAGGGCAAAAAGGCAGACCCCAGATGCCAAAGGTTGGAAGAACTCCCTGTATTTCCCATAGAACCCTGAGCTTTTGCCACTTTTATCATGTTTCATATCTCCTTCTTGCGTAAAAGGCCACATCCTTGTCACATTACTATCCTTGGGGAAAATATAGAATAAAGGGACTTTCGTTGATAACTGGTGACCTTTGTCATTCATTTTGATGAGCCAGAAGCCAAACCCCTTTCTGTGTTTGGGGAACACACTGTCCCCACTTAGGAATCTTGGTGAGAGGCAGAGTCACCTCCCTCCGTGGCAGCTGAGAACACCATATGCTTTCCCAGACCTCACAGAGAGAGCCTTGGCTTCACCTGGCATTGGCTGAGGCCCTGCCCAAGTAGGGGCTGCAAAAGGACACCCATGGGGGCACTGAGAGCAGCACCCTCTTTTGTTGTTTTTTTTTTTAAGATTTTTATTGGGGAATTGGGGGGATGGGAACAGCGCTGGGGAATTGGGGGAAGGGGAACAGACAAGTTGATGTTTTGTTCTTCAGTCTAGTTGTGAAGGATGTTGCTTCACTGGCCCAAGTAGCACCATCACTGCGCTCTTCCCAGGAGAGGCAGATCAGTCGCCGGCTTCTGGACGGCTGCTCACTGCGGCTGCTGGCTGCTCACGCTGGTTGCTGGCTACACACGGTAGCCCATGGCAACCCATTGCCACAGGGGCTGCAGCATACGCTGTTGCCGGCAACTCATGGCAACCCAGCTCCGGGTTGAGCTGTTGTTCAGCATCTTAGCTGTAGAGGGCAGTGTCACTGGCCCTCATATGTGGGATCCGAACCTGGGCCCTCTGGCTTCCCAAGCCAGTTCTTAACCACCGTGCCACTCAGTCGGCCAGCAGCACCCTCTTTTGAACAGATAGTGCTTAGATATAGGCAGTGAGATGCTACACAAATTGTTGGAAGAGCTCTAGGCTAGGCCTATAGGAATGATTCCTAGGACATCACCAGAGCACTGACCAACATGGGGAGCACCACGTTGGCCACACTCAGGAGGATGAGTTGGGAGCTACTCCATGTCTCCCAGGTCTGTGCTAAAAAACAAACAAACAAACAAAAAGAATGCCCTCCCTGCTCCTGCCTCTTTTTTTTTTTTTTTGAAGACTTTTTTTTTTTAATTGGGGAATTAGGGGAGTAGAACAGCACTGGGGAATCAGGGGAAGGAGAACAGACAAGTTGCTGTCCTTTTGTTCTTCAGTCTAGTTGTGGAGGACACAACTAGCCCGTTGCTTCACTGGCCCATGTTGGTATTATCATTGCACTCTTTCCAGTTGAGGCAGATCGGTCTCCAGCCTCTGGATGGCTGCTCACGGCGGCTCTTGGCAGCTCACGCCGGCTGCTGGCCGCTCACACTGGCTGCCAACCACTCACGGTAGCTTATGGCAGCCCACTGCAGCAGGGGCTGCAGCCTACATCATTGCTGGCGACTCACGGCAGCCCAGCTCCAGGTGGAGCTGTTGTTCACCATCTTAGCAGTAGAGGGTGCAGCGTCACTGGCCCTCATGTGGGATCCGAACCGAGGCCCTGCTGCTCAGAGCTGGCGTCCCAAGCCAGCTCTTAACCAACACGCCACTCGGCAGTCCCTCCTGCCTCTTAATATGCATGAAACCAGTGATCACTGGGCTTGGACCTCTGCTAATGCCTTCAAACTGCCCCTGACAACAGAAAGAGCAGGAACAGCAAAAGCATGGCCTCTGCCACACTATCACCTCCAAATCTCTCTCACATACATCTGAGAGGTGAAACCTAAGTTCCACCTGAAACTCCAGCCACAAGGAAGTCTGGGGATTAGCTTCCAAGCCTCTTTAATACAGAAAGCCAACTAGAAGAAAAGTGGGTTGGCACTGTGATCCAAGGTACCATATCACAAGTTTGAGAAGTCTCTGAGTTCCAACTTCATAGAGTCCCTGTCCTAGTTATAAATTTCTGCTGACTCATAGAAAACTAAAGTCGAGTGCCTTATGTCTGTGGGGATTTGAGTTCGAGCCCATTAAAAAAAAGCATGGGGACCGGCTGAGTGGTGCATTGGTTGGGAGTTGGCTTCAGACGCCAGCTCTGAGCAGCAGGGCCCTGGTTCGAATCCCACATGAGAGCCAGTGACGCTGTGCCCTCTACAGCTAAGATGGTGAACAACAGCTCCACCTGGAGCTGGGCTGCCGTGAGTCTCTGGCAACAGCATAGGCTGCAGTGGGACTGCAGTGGGCTGCTGTAAGCTACCGTGAGTGGCCGACAGCCAGCGTGAGCAGCCGCCAGCTGGCGTGAGCTGCTGTGAGCTGCCGTGAGCGGCCGTCCAATGGCTAGCAACCGATCTGCCTCAGCCGGGAAGAGCATAATGATAATACCAACTTGGGCCAGTGAAGCGACGTCCTCCACAGCTAGACTGAAAACCAAAAGGACAGCAACTTGTCTGTTCCCCTTCCCCGATTCCCCAGTAAAATCTTAAAAAAAAAAAAAAAAAAAACACCAAAAAACCCCAAAAAAACGCATGGGATTTCACTGATTAAAATCCTTTAGTGGCTCCCCTTAGCACTCAGGCAAAGTCCAAAGTCTTTACTGTGGCTTAGAAGACTCGTGTTCTGGCACCCTGCCCTCCACACTCCCTACCCAGATACTCTTTCCATGGCTGTGCCCAAATTCCTTGTGTTTCCCTGAGCACATTATGCTCTTTCGGGCCTCAATACTTTGTACTTGGTGTCCCGCCTCCTTGGAACATCCTCGTCACCAACTGTCATGTCATCCCAGAGAACTTACTTTTCCTTAGGACTCAGCTCAAATGTCACTGCCTCTGCAAAGCCTTCCCTGAGCTCTCTGGGTGAGTGTGAACCCTCCCTCTTGTGCTCTCCCCTGTCCCCCTCCCTTTACAGAACTGAGCACTCAGCTGTTCACTTGTTATAGACCTTACTTGTCTCCCCAACCAGCTGGGAACCCCCTGGAAGGCACAAATCAAGCTCCTTTCAGTTTTGAACCCAACGTCTAACTCTGTGTCTAGCACTTAGGAGGTGATTAGTAAATGTTTGTTGAATGAGAGGAGACTGGGATTGGAGAAAGGGAAGGAGGGGTGGGGAGTGTGGGGTGGGGGGGGCGGGAATACTGTGCTTTCCATATTGAGACGAGAACGCTGGAGAGAATTGGAAGGAATTCCTGATGATAAAGGCTTGGGTCTCGACCATCCCTATGCAGGGGTTCACCTATGGAAGCTCCTTATAAATGTAGAGGATGGGGGCTGGGTGCAGAGGGTCCAGGGTCTCTGTCACTATGTCAACCAAAGCAGAATTCTGCCTTTCCCAGTGTGCTGCTCCTTCAGACCACCAAGAGTGAGCTGTCCAAGCCACATGAAGCCGTCAGTGCTGGCACTTGGGTGGGGGGAAGTCGGTGTGATTGTGGTTTGGGATTGGGGTTTTTTAGCATCTGTCCGAGAGTGTCAGTGTTCATGATCTGCAGCTCAGTAAATGAATGCATAGGCTAATTTCCCATTCAAATCTGTGAAGCTCTTGTATATCCATAGGATAGAATATTACTCAGCTATAAAAAGGAATGAAGTACTGATTTATGCTACATCATGGATTAACTTTGAAAACATTATGCTAATGAAGGAAACCAGACACAAAAGATCACATCTTTTATGAGTCCATTGACATGAAACGTCCAGACTAAGCAAATCCATAGGGACAGAAAGATTCGTGGTTGCCAGAAGCTGGGGGAAGAGGAGAATGGGGAGTGATTGTTCACGGATATGGCGTTTCTTTTCGATGATGAATGTGTTCTGGAATTAGGTAGTGGTGATGGTTGCACAAGTCTGTAAATATATTAATTGCCACTGGATTGTACACTTTGAAAGAATGAACTTAAATGGTATGTGAATTATATCTCAATTGAAAAAAAAATCTATGAAGGTGAGTTCGTAGAAATAGCTGCCAATGTAAGCAATCCCTCCAGAGGCACCACAGAAGGTCTGAGGCAGCATTGCCCTGCTGGGCATCTATAGGGCCGAAAATCCATCCTCCCGTAGAAATCAGAAATGCAGAGCCCAAATAAGAGCTAAGCAGTTTGGTGATGTAATGACGTTCTTGTGAGGATTTAACTAAAGAGCAGGCAGTATTCCCTCACACTTTGGTGAGGTGTAGGCACAGCCTCAGAGGCTCCCCACAAAAGGCTTGTGCCATCAGTGACAGGTGAACATTGTGTTGTACAAGGTGTCAGAGCCAAAGAGCTATTAACACAACAATGAACTCTCGCCCATAGACACAGCTCTGGGAAGAATAGAATCAAAGACTTCTCCCCTGAACAGAGAAAAACAAAACACAGCATGGCCAAAAAGGTTTTCTCTTTATCCCAGAGGTTCTTTTTTAATTTCTAAAATATTTTTCATTGAACTATAATATTCCTGAAGAAAAATGTGTATGCCATAAATATACATGAAGTTCTTTTGCTTATCTTGGGGGTTGAAAATGGCCTCTGTCAGTTTAGATTCCATCACGATGCCTGGACAAGACTTATTCAATGTAAATGAAAAAAATTACTTTCTTTGACAGTGACTCATTCAAACACATACGATAGCTATAGGATGGATGTGATGGAATAGTGTGGGCTCTTTCCCTTGCAACTTTCTCCCTGGAGGGTGAAAAGAGCATCAGTTCTGGTTTGAGGGTTGGCACAAAGCCCAGCGGTGGCCAGTGATGGGGCACACTTCCAGGGCCTGGGATCTCAGAGACTCTGGGCTGCCCCCATAAATCACAGTGAAGTGATGTCACAGTGAGGCTCCCTGATAACTCACCCCAACCTGACTCTATGAGGAAAGAAGAACAATAGGACCTAGGATAACTGCAGAAGAGTAAACATTAATTCAGCACAGAAGATATACCTTTGGCTGAAAGAAAGTTCTCCCCCGGGGGAAGAACTGCTGGACCCTTTGGATGGTTGTCCCAGGAGGGTACAGACCTATCTGCTCTGGAGGAACTTTTTTGAGGGCACTTCGCTCAGGCTGCCCGTTTCACCTGAAGCCTGTGCTGTGTGTGACCTCTGGTGACCTGCTCATGCACAAACCCAGGGCACTGCCCCCAAAAGATGTCCCTGTGCACTTTCCCTAGAGCCAGCGCAGCTAGAGGTAGCCTGCCCCAGGCTCCTCAAGGACACTGTCACCCCGATCCCATCCTCCCACGTGAGGAAAGTCCAACATGGGGGACTTTCCAAGGTAGGGCCAGAGCTGAGCCAGCACCTGACTGTGGGTTAGAGCAAAGCCTGAAACGGAAGCCGTGACTATGAGAAAATGCCTTCATTTACTGCCTGACCCATCAAGCACAAGTGTCTCCACTCTGTTGCTCTGTGAGGTAAATGGGGTTGGAGCATACTTTAGACGTCTTAGCCTCTCCTCACTGGACAGCTGGACCTGCAGTATCCAAGGCCACAGGGGAAGAGTGACAGACAGAGCAGAAGCTCATCTTGGCTTTGGAATTTCAAAAGCCTGACCCTCAAGGTGGGTGGCAACAGCTCAAGACACACACGGGGGATTTGGAAGAACATGTGATGGGTTAAAGAAAACAGACCTCCCTATCCCCCAGGGGTAAAGAGTCCACAGGCTGGTGGGGATTGGGGAAATAAAGAGTGTAGACATCTCCGGGGTCCCTGACAAGGAGCTGTGTCTAAAGGAGCGGGTTGAATGACAAATACCCCAGAGGCGATAAGGATAGTAGAACCCTGGGCCCATGTTTCCCGGGTCGAGGCTGGGAAAACAGCAAGGCCCAGAGTAGAATAGGTCACTTGCTGTCCATCTCAGCAGATGGGCTTGGGACAGCCCCACAGATCTTCCTGAAGCATGGAAGAGTGCAGGGCCAGGACCTAGAATGTCCTCCTGCCCCAACAGCAGGCAGGTCCAAAGTGGCTTTGTGGTAAGGAGTGAGGGACCACCTAGCTGGGGCCATGCCCACCAATGACCAACCAAGAGATAACCAGATGGAACAGGGATATTTTAGCAGGTGCTGGCATGGATGAATGATGATGACTGAGGAACAATGTCATACTCTGTTGAAAGTTTCCCCCTGCTCACCGAACTTAATGTCTGGAAAAGATGGGAGGGGAACCCCAAATTGACTGAGATTAATTTCTATCACTTAGTAAAATGGGCTTCATAATAAAAATTACATTCAGTGTTAGAAAAATAAAGTGATGTTTCTGGCAGATTAGAGTTTATAGAGTGAGTTGTATCTACTATGTAAGTAACCAACATTTTCTTTATGGTTTTGTTATAAATAAAGGATGAAAAAGAAACACACAACAGAAAGTCACAAAAGAAACGCCACTTGCAGCGCTTGCCAATTACAGATTTTCCTTCTTGTCTTTGAATTCAGTAAGTGCAGGGATCTTGCCACAAGTTCAGGTCAAATGACTGTAGCATTTTCTGAGTGAAACGTATGAAACTTAAGTTCATGGGTTGTTCTTTTTATGTTTTCTCAATCGTTCATCCTCCATTATCTCAGCACAGGGCTATCACTGGGGACTGAGAACACTGCTGGTGAGAGCTGAGGACAAGAATGGAGGAAGAACCCCTCTCCAACAGACAGCTCTACAAATAACTGCTGCTCCAGGGTGCCCCCAGCCAGCATCCCTGAAATGACAATGCAGGGAGAATAGGAGAGCAGTGGCAAAGTTGTGAGAGCCACTAAGGCGGTTCCCATGGAGGAAGAGCAGCTGGGACTTCCAGGAGCTGGGGCACAAGTGGCAGGTAGTCCAGAAGCTGAGGAATCCAGAGTCCCTGACTAGAGCCATTGGCTGAGGACTCGCCACCCTACTGGGGCCAGTCACGAGCCAGGTGGGGAAAGTGAGGTGGGTGGATATGGAACAGTCGGCCCTGGGGTAATCCAGTGCCTCTGATTCAGGGACCTCTCTCTAGGCTTGACTCATCTTGCACTGGGCATTTCCGAGGGCTTCCGGGAGCATAGGCAGGGCAAAGGCAATCAGGGAGGGTTGGAGAAGCCTGTGAAGAAAAGAGAAGGGAAGCCGGTGACTAAATGGGGAGGGGTGGTTGCCTTTCCAATAGGGGAACCTCAGTCTTGTCATCCACTGCCAAGTAAGTGGAATCCATGCCCCCACCCATCTGCAAATGCACTATTTGGAAAAAGTCTGAGGCCATGTCAAATATGCTGAGATGAGTACTTAGATAGAAGCTCCCTCCTTTTAGTCTTATTTCTTACTGAGCAGGGAAATTCCATTCAACAAAGATTTATTGTCTTGCTTCCTTCCAGTAGTGGAGTTCCAAGCAGGTAGGAATTGAATTGTGAGAGCTCAGGTCAGTCACCCCAGAGCACCTAAAGTCACGTCACACTGCCCTTACCTTTACCCTGGCCCCTGTGCACCCCTCCTTATGGGGGCCTCCATGACCTCCACAAAGTGGTGGCCCCACGGTGAATCCTGACACTTGCAGTTTTCATGGAGCTGTTCAGTTATGAGCTAGGCCACACCCATCCTCAAGTTGCCCCAATCTGAGATCTGAGAGCCCAGTGAGAGCAACGGGCTGGTGCTGAGGCCAATGACCCAGGGCAGGACCTACCTGAACCAGAGCTGAACCAACTAATGGGCGTGGAGAAAGATGAAGGCCAAGTCCCCTGGCTCCCTTCGTTGGCTTCGGGTGTGGAAGGTGGCCTGGGAGTGAGGATTCGGATATTCTCAGGCACTGAGGGGGTCCAGGCCAGCAGGGCTGAGCACCAGAGCCTGAAGGATGTCAGAGAGGGACACCACGCCCAGGAGATGCTGGGTCTCATCCACTAGCACCAACCGGTGTACCTGTGGGTCCACAGAGGTTCAGTAAGCGGGCAGAGGCATGCGGCTATGGCAGCCAACGAGGTAGGCACCAAGGATGAGGGGCCACAACTTGACATAACTGGGGGAGCAAGAGAGTGTCTCCTAGAAACCAGTTAGGGATGGTTCTGATCTCTCTGGGGTGATTAGCTGGCTGTGGCCCATGGCACGAGGACCCCATGGACAGGACCAGTTGCAGGCCAGTGTGGACACTAAGAGCTTGGCCGTGAAATGGGATGACAGGGCAGATGCCCGAAGTATAGGGAGAGCTGGAGCTACTCATGAGAAGACCATACATGTTGGGAGCATGCATGAGGGGCACGGGGTACCTGCTCCTGGACAATCCGGTCGATGACTTCTCCCAAGCTCTCTTCAGGCAGGCAGGAAAGGACTCCCTCCAGACACAGCGTCCTCTTCCTCAGTGCTTCTCCCACACTCATGTCTAGGTGGTTGTAGGTTTGCTGGGCAGCCAGGTGCTAGGCAGGGAGGAAAGCACTACTCTCAGTCACCCTCTCAACCAGGCTCCAGCCCCACAATTGTAAAGTCCCCCCTGGTTCACAGATTCTCATGCCTGCCGCCTCCCTGTGGCACCCCCACCAGCTCCCTTCCATTCTCCACAGACACTTACAACCACATCGAAGCGGGAGTAGAGGCCCACGACCTGACCTGCAGGGGTGGTGGGTGGGGTGAGAGAAAGACAGGGAAGAGGTACAGATCAGAGCAGGGATGCGGTGCAAGGGCCCAGGGTGCGCTTTTGGAATGAACTCTTTGGCATTCCCCACCCCCACCCCCAGACTACTGGCTTTATAATGAAGCATCAGGCTGCCACTATCTGAACCCAAAGATCAAATAGCATCACAGAGACAGAAAGAGAGACAAGCTGACATCATGCCGCCCGATGTGACACAATATGAGTACATGGCATCACCTCTGAAATATTCTAGCCTAAACGTATAGCCTGAATCTGATCAAGCCTTAACTCAAATTTCTGGTTTACAGGAAACAGGGACAGAGGAACAAAGTAAGGGCCACCTGTACAAAGCAATCAGACAAATCTGGAGGCGGGACATTCTATAGGACAACTGGTCCAGGCTTTTCAGCATCAATGTCATGAAAATTAAGTGAGGAGTGAACTGTTTCACATTAAAAGACTTAAGGGACAAAAGAAGCAAATGCAAGGTATAGAACTTAATTGAACCTGGTTTGAACAAATCAACTGTTAAAAAATATATTATGGGGGAAAACTGGGAAGTGAGGATTAGTACGATTGAATATTAGATAATATGAATAAGTTATAGTTTTGTTAGGTGACAGGAAATACACTTATTTTAAGAGATGCAGACTGACGTGTTTAGCAGTGAAATGACATGGTCTATAATTTAGTTTAAATTACTTCAGAAAAAAAAGAAAGGCAAAGATCTGGTAATGGCACTATATTAACAGCAGCTAATTCAGGCAATGGTTATGTGGGATTCATTATACGGTTTTTTCTACCATTTTCATACTTGTGAAGTTTTTCATAATAAAAAATAAATTAGGGGGCCGGCCAAGTGGCTCAGTTGGTTAAGAGCTCACTCAAGAGGTTGAGCTCTTAGAAACAGTGGTTCGATTCCCGGCCCGAGCTGAGCTGCCAACAGGTGGCAGGATGGCTCAGCTAAAAAAAAAAAAAAAATTAAAAAATAAATAAATTAATTAATTAAAATACTTCTTGATATCTAGCTTCATTAAGATGATTTTAACTTTGAAATCATTTACAACAATGGTTTACCAAAGAAATTATCGTGTAATTCCTCTGACCCTTTTTCAGAGCAAGAAATTGAGGTCTGGCTGGATCCCATGGCCCACTTTAGGATGAATTAAAATGAAAAACCTCATTTACTGGTTCCTCTCACCATGCTCATTTTATTGCACATAATCCTTTTAAATCATCCTGTGAAGTCAGAGGATGGGTATTAAGATTCCTACTTTTCACATGAGGAAACTGAGGCACAGAGAGGCTAAGTAACTTGTCCAAACTCCCTGACTCCACCTTGCGCCCTGAGCTGATGCCACATAGACCCGCCTGAGCCCCGCCCTGGGCATGGGTACCAGCTTCGTTGACCACAGGCAGAGCAGACACGCGCCGGTCCACAAAGATTTCCAGTGCGGTCAGGATGGGCGCTGTTTCCAGCACCACAGCCAAGTCTCGGAATGTGCCGATGCCCAAATCTTGGATGGTTCGGGAGAGGAAGGCTGGCCGGGGCAGCAGGGCGCCCTGGTTGGGTTGAGGACAGGTGGTGCGATCAGAATGGAGCAGCCCCCAGGGCTCCCAGCTGCCCCCTCCTCAATCCCTAGGGTTGAAGGCTTCTTAGCCCCTTAGATCACCCCCCACCCCGGGGCTGTCCTAGGCTCACAAAGATGTGCAGGAACTTGAGTAGCCGCTTATGTGTGATGATGTGGAGCACGTCACCTGAGACCGGGTCCAGGACAGGCAGGCGGTGGATCCGATTCTTGATGAGGGTGTAGACGGCTTCGAACAGGCTGTGGAGGTGGAAGTAGTGAGCCTGAGGCAGCCTGGGAAGAGACGCCCTCCATCCCAGACCCCTAGAAGGGAGGACGCGGTGCCAAGGCTGCCTCATGGGCTTTCCAGGATGCACCGGTGAGTTCAGAACCGAGGGGCTGGGGAAGGGGACTGTGTGGAGCAAGGAGGATCAGATGGGTGGTTGGGGATGCTTACCTGTCATTAGGAGAGATGGAGACCAGAGGCTTGAAGCTGCCTTGAAGGTAGATCTCTGCAGGAAAAGCCAGAGTTAAGCCAAGGGAGCTGGCCACCCTGCCTCACCCTGCAGTCCCCCAGACAGCCCTCCCCTCCCCCAAGTCCCCCTGGGCTCCCTGTCATCCTTCTCCTGTTCCTTTCAGGAAAGCCCCACTGCCCATCGTCCATCTCCCGCAGGTCCTCGGCCTCCCGCTCACCCACACGCCCTCAGCCCCTCTCCAGTTGCCCTCTGCCCGCTCACCCCTCCAGGTCTCAATCTTATGTTCTTCAATCTCATAGATCTGGACCTAGAGACACAGACAGGACTCCAGAAGTCAAACGTGGGTCCCTCAGGCACCAGGCTCCCTGACCATCCTTCCACCCAGCCCAGATGGGTGCCCTCAGGACTCCCAGCCCACTCCTCACCAGGGGGGACCTGTAATAGCGATGCAGCACCAGGATGAAGTCTGTGATGGTCAGCATCCCTGTAGTGTTGAGAGGGGTACAGGAGTATCAGCCTGGGGCCTTGAGGTGGGAGGCAGGTTGAAGGGTCAGACTCCCCTCCCCCACCCCGCCAGTGTCCTAGTACTGAGACATGAATGGGAATTGTGGGAAAGGGGAATAGGGCAGCCTCTTCTGCGTCTGAAAAATGAGGTTCTTCCTTTTCCCTCTAATTTCTCTCCCCTCCCCCCATACACTCCCATTTCTATTCTAATTTCTCCCTTTCCCTTCCTTCTTTTCCTACTAGCATCTATGAAATGGGACCTTGGGGCAGTAGAGCCGGAGGGGTTAGCTGGTCACAACTCTTTCACAGATGAGGAAACTGAACACAGAGCCACCTCACAAGGCCCCTCCTCTCCCTGCCCCACCACTTCTGCCTCCCAGCCTCTCCTTACCCACAAAGCTCTGCTTCTTGCTGTCCCACAGAGGTGCTGCACGGACACCATTGGCCACCAGGGCAAAGAAGGCCTTTTTGATCTGAGGGTCAGGGAGAGCAGTTGACAGTAAGTCTCTCACTGTCCCTCACTGGTACCCTGTCCCAACCAGGGTCCCTCTAAGGCGCTTGCCTCCACACGAGCTAGCCTGCCTTTCTCATGTCATGGTACACACCAAACATGATCCTGTCAGGGACATTTGCTACAGAGATAAGAATGCTGGTGGCCAGAGGCACTAAGGTGACCCCCTCACCAGGCACACCAGGATGTAACTCAATGTTTCTACTCAGAAGTCATATATGTCCAGACACACACAGGATAATTTTGCTAATCTAAGTACTAGAGGTATAATTATTGACATAACATTTACAAAATATTTTTCTCTAAATAAATCTTACATTGACTCATTTTGGCCTCATCCTAAGCAATGCTATCTAAACATGCTGGTTGTATTTTTCTAATACATGTTAAAGTAAATGCAAAGCTACTAACAAAACATATTTGTTCGTATGTCACTAGAATCAAATCATGTACTGTGGACGACACACATACCATGCTTTGGGAAACACTGCACTGCTATACATGATGGCAAGAATGGAATCAAGGTATTTTGTAGCTCAGCTTAATGGAAGAGCCGGGACCAGAGCTCATCCTATTTATCTGGTCCCAAGAGTCCCCTGCTCTTTGTCCTAAGCCATTCTGCCATGTCTTCCACATAGTCCAGGGTTCGCAAAGTGCTCCCATCTATCCTGGGCTGTCTCAGGGGTCCTCTGAAACTTGCAGGGCAAAGCAGGCATTCCTATCCCCATTTTAGAGATGAGAGGGGTAAAGTGCTGGACCCAAGATCCCACAGATGCTAGGTGTCAGAGCTGTGATGACAGCTGAGGAGTGCTCATAGAGAGTAGCAGTCCTCCTGCACTGGTCTCCATGGGGCTAAGGATGAGTTCTGGCAGGGAGTTTGCAGGGGGCCTGGCCTGCCAGGGTGTGCTGGAGGGCATGAACAGTGGTTGCAGCCCTGGGAGGATGGAGGTGAGCAGAGCCGTGGCCTCACCTCCAGCGTAGTGTCGAAGATGACCAGCTTGGAGCTGGTTGCCATGGCATCGTAGCAGGTGTGCTTCTGCATGAAGTGCATGTAGACCTGGGCCTCTGGCTTCTGCAGCTCGTCGTCCCAGCCCTGCCTAAGCAATAAGACCTGAGGGGATGGGCATGGGGCAGGCCTCTCTTCCAGCAGGCCAAGCTCATACCTGCAGGCTGCTGTAGCGGAGAATTCTTTGCCCAGCTGCAGGTCATCTGTGCTGGAGCTAGCAGCTGAGGCTGTACACTCAGCGGGGAGGATATCCCACTCCGTTAGTGGGTTGTCCACCCCAGCCAAGGGAGCAGCCTGGGCCAACGGTGTTCCCTTGGGGAATGTGGCCTCCAGCCCAATGGACTCAGTAGCTGGCCTGGATTGGGGACCTATTTGGGGGGAGAGGATAGTGATTCCATCTTCCAAAACACTTTATCATCTGCTGTCTCAGTTTAGCCTCACAGCAGCTTTGGAAAGCCTGGATGTTGTGAGCCCCATTTTGCAGATGAGAAGGTTGGGTCTCAGGGAGTCACACAAGGCAGTGGCTCTGTCCTGAGTAACCCATTTGGGTTCCTGACTCAGCAAAGCAGTTGTCCTTTCCCATGTGGGGAGGCTGAGGCTGCAAGATGAGGGTTGGGTCTAACTGTGTGTAATGAAGAGACCAAGGGCAAAGCCCCAGCCCTAGTCTCTGGGACTTCCCACTGCCCCCCCGCCCCCCGCTCCC